CTGCACATGTGACAGGACACCAAGAGGAGCACATTCCCTGGTTATTAACGGCAGGCTGTAACACCAGGCCCTGACACAGACACGGTCCAGTTCATCTGAGGATATGTTCTCTATGTCTTCTCTGGTGACATGTTTATTCTCCTGCAGACACCGTCACACTGCTCCCAGACAAATATGTGTCTGGTCCTTGAGCAAGCCGACGGTTCGCCATGAAAAGCAGGGGGTGGGAGGGGGGTCTGTGCGCTGTCTACGCGCTGGTCTCCACACATCACACGGTAATAACACGCAGGGCTGAGGGCGCGTGCGGCTCGGTGCCATTAAAACAGTTAATAAATAGCAGAGAGGGGTCCTCGCGCTAAATCACATCCCGTTATTTCCAAACTTCCCGGTCCTTCGAAGAATATTTAAAAAACGTTGACAGACCGTCCGCGTTATTCACGGTACAAGCTAGCTGCGCACATCGTCTCTGACACGAAAAAAAGCTTGAATACGTTATAAAAACTGAGGCCGTTCAACTAGATAAATAATTGTCCGTAAATCCACGACGTTTCCACTTACGTTTCAGCGACGTAAAAATGAGAAAACCAAGGCTCACCCTGTTTCATATCCTTCCCTTTAATTCTTCTTCTTCTTCCATAAAAATTCCAGCTTTGCAACAAAAACCAACATCTACTCACCTCTGAAGCGGCCGAGCGCGTCAGCGACTTTCCCCGCCGGCCACCGTCTCTCCGTTATGAATGAATGAGACCCGTAGTACTTATAAAATAAATAGATAAGGCTGCTATTTATCTCTTCATTGCGGTCCCGTCGTAGCGACTCCAGGCTGAAGCTGCGCACGCAGCATCGTCAGCGGGCCGCCCCCCCCCCCACCCCCCGTTAGGGACAGATGAAAAAAACATAAATAAATAAAGAAGACAATTGTTCAGTAAACAATTTGAATAGATAATGATACAGACTACCTCTAGACATGAAATATGTATAATATATATACACATACATTAAAAAAACAACAATATAGTATAGTATAGTATAGTATAGTATAGTATAGTATAGTATAGTATAGTATAGTATAGTATAGTATATAGTATATATAATTGATGTAATTTCATGCCGTGTTCTGCCTGCCTTTTGTTTGTAATTTTCAAAATATATAATCTGGTACTTATTACAGGAAAATGAATGTATAAATTGATACACTTCCCATTTATTAACTATGCTGTGCAGGTAGTGGTCCGGACTCTCACAAGGGGTCACAAGTTAAGGTCTGTGAGAATATTACAGGGATAGGAAAGCATTTCTTTTAGACAGAATTCTGTTAATTTCTTCATTTTATCTTGTAGAGAAGAGTTACTAATTATAATTGATAATTCATTAATATTTATTTGGGTTTAAATTGAGATTTTCAAGGCCATCCTTTTTTTTATTCCAAAATTACTCCCAAATTACAAACCTATAATAAAAGAGGTGTAGTTTGATATTAAAAACCATTAACTCTAACCAACTAAAACCATCCTGACTATATTCACCAAAAATGTCCAAAGTTTGAACAAGATGAAGAGATATCCAGTATGTGATGACCCCAAAGACAAACTGAACCCCAGTATTACTGTCATTCTTTTATTTAAACACTACTCTAGATAGTCTTATCCTGGTGACGGCTGATGACAGACGCAGAGAAAATGGAGTTTGGCAGCTGGGGGTGAGAGTCTGGTAGTGACAGGCCTGGGTGAGCAGGATCCCCTGGGTCTCTATATCAGTCCCAACCAGCCTCAGGCTCTGCCTCAGGGGCCCCTGGGCCTCTCATTGTTCCACAGGGAGGCTGTTTAATGCACTATAATGAGCCTCACAATATGCCCTGGTGGCATGGTGGTGACTTTGGTGTGGTTACGTCTTCGGTGTCCCTTCCCCCACCCTGTCCGCAGTCAGTATTACTCATATGTTGAAATACAGCTCAGATCAAGACTAAATGTGCTGCTCTCATGCTGCACCACTCCAATCAATACTCATTTACCAAAGATAGACCAATGATAAATATCAATATTACTGTCATCACAATTGTCAATAGCATTTCATTCTGTATGGATCAGATGCAGTCGTGTGGTTTATTTTGTGTATCCAGGAAAAATGTGTCACTAAACATTAGAAAATCCAAACATGAAGGCTGAATTTTACCCGCTAGTCCCTTTATGTGGATTGGACACAAATACCCCCAATTATAATCACTACTTACATATAAATGAGTCTTCCACAGATCCTTCTACTGCATTTAGGGACTGTACAAAAATTACTGAGGTTTGGAATGGGGCTGAATCTCCTATTCCATTTTATAAAAAAGCAAGAACCTACCCTCCAGGGTTATAGATATTTTATCTGGACCGTCCCTTTAACTTAATAAGAATAAAGCCCTGTTACCGTGTTCAGACAAAATGGCAGCACTACTGCATACAAAGTCAATAAAAAGACTCGATATAATGGGAATTTACATTTAGTCACGCGTCTTGAGCTGATGCTGACACATTTGCATGAGGTGAAAAAACTTGAGCGAAAATTTTTTACGAATCCCAGGTCTTTATGAGTGTGTTTCATAAAGGTGCAGAGAGGAGAAGTAAAAGAAAAGACTGGCAGGAAATAACAAAGAAATGAAGTTTCTGAGTTTAGTTATAGCGGCTGAGCTGAACACAGACACAGTTGTTTCGTCCGTTGTCAGCTAGGTTACAGCTAACGTCTGTACAGTTGGTTTATTGGCTGTTTGGTGCAAAGAAATACATGAACGTGAACATAGCTGAACACAGTTGTACAGTGATGGAACTATTTGGTCTCTTTTTATTATTATTTATTTATTTTTTCTAACAAATCACAATCAATTACTAATTAATTCATACCATACCATCGCTGTGTATAAAAGGTTGCATGAGACTAATAGTCAAGTAACCTGTTCTAATAAATGTTAAAAAAAACAAAAATCTGAAAAAATGAGGATAAAAAATAATAGGAAAAAAAAATCAAAGATACCTCACAAAAAAGTTGGACCACCCTTCCCCCACCTGCCTGATAATATTTGTACAATCCCTTACAGCTGCAGCCAATGAATGCTGAGAAGCTGCATGTTTTCTTTTGAGAGTTTTTACTTGCCTTTGCATGTTCTTCATAATCAGTCAATGATAAAAGTCATGTTGTGCTGAAATTTGCTTTAAAGGCCTATACAATATCCACTGTACTGTCTCAGAGCCACAGGGCAAACAGAGACACAAAGCCTGCTGTACAACACAAAGACAAACACTGAGACTGACATGTCTGTAGTCAACCACCATCAAAGCTTGTAAGACAACTCCTCATAGAGTGGAACCAAAATCATTGTATGTCCATTTTATTCTCCATCTCAGCACATTACATACACACTGAACGCACTGAAGAACAAAAACACTTGATTTCGACACCATTCATGCCATTCCAAGCCATTCCGTCTCCAATGTAAATGGAGGTCAGGGGTCACGGTCAGTGTGCCCTTTGATAGGTACCCACTTGGGATGCCAAACAGTCCAGGGCTTTGTTTACCTCTTTTCCCCTTCACATACAATCTGAGCTCAGCTGACATGTACGGACTGAGAACAAGACGTTTTTGTCCGTCACAGGCTCTTTGACATTAACCAGAGCAACAAAGGGAATTCACACAGACTGTGGAGCTGGACCACGAAACTGACATAACACATGTAGAAATGACATGTATATAACTACAGCTAAGAGCTCAGTCTGTTATGTTGAGAGGAACATGTCCAGATGTTTGAAAAAAAAAATTCACAGCTGTATTATTTCACTGGCCTGGACACAAAGAGGCCTAATTTAAATTTACACTCAATTTGCATTAAATTACCCAGTGGATATTCTCCTGTGTGTTCAGCTGAAGAACACCCTCTAGTGTTAGCTCTGAATCAGAGGCACCATGGCACTGACTGTGGTGAGACCTGCACAACACCACAGGACTCTGTGCAGCCTGACTCAGTACAATGTAGTAGCTGTGTAACATGAGACAGCAAAGATAGAAGTATGGAGATGTTTCAGAACACCGCTCAGAACAATTATGGTGTTTTACTGCCAATATACAGTCTGTTAGAAACAGCAGCACAACACATCTGATTGTGCTACAATGCACAAGAAAATAGGGATTTCAATGTGGATCTGTCATTTAGTGTTGTTTACCAGTTGTCATTTACAAGTTCTCCAATTATTCATGAGCAAGATTTTCAATACACTTGACTCATCTGGTCTTTTTTCTAATTCTACCCTCCTGAGCCAAAATCTCTTACAGTCTTGTTTTGTTGTATGAAATGGCGCCATCCACAGGTTTGGAGACCAAGCTGACACTGCAGTCCAGTACAGAACATCAGCTCTGTAAAAAGTGTTTGTGTGACTGAATAATAAATGAATCTGATTACAATTTGTACTGTAACAAGATGAAAAGCCACATTTTTCACCTGCAGTGAAGATTCCAGTTGTGGAAGTATTCAAATATAAAATCATACATAAATCATACTTTAGTTGGAGTACGCAAATATTATAAGTAAAATGCACTGAGTAGTGTTTTGTTGTTGTTGTTGCTTTCTTGTTTTTAAACTTATTTTCATTATTTGTTTATTTCATTCATTTTATCCATTCAATTTGTTACTAATTAATTATTATTCCATCTCATTTTACATTACTTTTATTTACACTAATTTATATAATGTTGGGTTGTTTAGTTTATAACAATGAATTATTTTTTATAAGGCCATCATACATGTTGTATGAAAAATCTTAATCTGTGAAGCAACTACTAATTACAGCTGTCAAATAAATGCAGGGAAGAAAAAAATATTTCCTTCTGAAATGTAAATTATAAAGTGAAATGAAATCAAGTTAAGTCCCTGCAATTTGTACTCAAGTACAAAAAATAAAAGTAAAACTGATTGATAACACCTTTAAAATGAGAACAACATCCCCATTTTCAAAGCAGTCACATTTATTTGTCTTTTTATACACATTTGCTAAGCAGCCTGTTGTGCTAGCAGTTGGCTTTGATAGGATTTACTATGGGATTTCCACAATGCTTACTAAAAAATAAATACAAGACAAAGTGTTCCACAGCTCAAAAATATACAAAGGTTTGAAATTAATGTAAACTTTCAAAACATTTTTTTACATAAGAAACAATTCAACAACCTTTGAGACAATTCCAAAAGTTATTGTATTTACAAGTTTGTACAAAAAAATACAAAGCTGATACCTACAGTATACAGAGGCTGATCTGAAATGAAATGTATCTAGTACCATAAGTTATAATAAGCCGTATTTCTTTTTCTTTTAGTATTGGTTTGAGTCAAGTAAACGAGAAGAGAAAAACAGTTCAATGCCACTAACATGTACACGTTCTAGCCTTTGGCAGAAGCATCTACTCCACTCCTAAAGTGTGAATATTACTCAAAGGAAAGTCAAACAGCTCCATGTAAAGGTTGGTGAATATCTCCAGGTACAGCAAGAGACTACTGAAACTTCACAAACATCACTTTATCAGTGCAAAAATAAATGCTGGAATGAAGGTTCACACACACACACACCCCACTGTGTACCCTGTTCTATGTAGTTGCATCAGTGTGGAGTATCATTATTAAGGCCAAAATGAAGTTGATATCTACAGTGTACCAATAGTGGAGAACAGTCTTCAATATGGCTACATCGACTCAGTCAACATTGCATAATGGTTGAATACCACCGCTGCAATAAACACAATTTACTTGTAAATTATTGTGAATGTGCAGGATAGTAAACCAGCTTCAGAGCGCCTGGGTTACATCTGTAACCTCTCCTCTAGCTTATGACTGTTTATGTCATTGTTTAATGACATTTAACGAGTTGCTTGCCTATTTGTCTCTGCAGCCAGTGTCTCAAATAAGATTTATAATCTGTCTCTTATAAACAAAATAAGCATTTGAATAAAATATACTTTCATTTAAAGATTTCAGTTTCAGGTTTTAAACCAAATCAAGGAGCGTGTGGAGATTTTCTGTGTCAGTTATAAAAAATAAATATATTTAGATTGTTCAGACACATAGAATGTGACAGTTAGATCTTTGATGGGGAATAAAACAGACCGTCGTCCGTCGTCATCATCAAATCCAGAACCTCCTCTCTTCACCACAGACCTGGTTTCAAATTTAACCCTTCATCCTCCATCACAACTGAAAATCTCACAGAAACACTCGAACCTGCTGCGGCCCGAAGCTGCTCTGTCACTTCTTGTCTCTTGCTGAGTAAAATAAAATATTTGTATTTGATCCTCCTGAACACTTTCCACTTGCCTCTTTCAACGATTCGTAAACACACCAAGTCAGCAAACCAGAAATGACCATTGTTACGTTTTTTTCTTCTTAAACATATGACCTCCTCATTCGCTCACAGCTCCTGTTTCACCACCTCCAACTTTTTGATCACTTTTTCACCTCCCACGTTAACACCTGCCTCCTTCTTGTTTCCAGAGATTGTCGAGTTAGTGCTTGGCTCTGACGTTTCCTGTCTCACCTCTTTCACTCATGTTATTGCATGAGAATTTTAAAAAGTTGTAATAATACATCATCTTTGATATAATTTACTATATGCTTTTAAAAAGGACTGAGGGAAATACACAGACATCACATCAGATTTGAGCAGATGCACTGAGGCGTCACATTGTTTTCTTCTGCTGTTTCTCACACACTTTTAGTCCTGATGCTCAGGTCGTGGTATGAAAATCATTTTGGTGTAACTGGCTGGAGGAAATGTACAAATTGTCTAATTGCATAGGTATTCATAGAATACAAACAGCTAATACAAAATATTTGTCTGTTTTCAAGATAAAAAATGTCAATTTCAGGGATTAAAGATTAAAATACTCTTAGGGCTGAAGGAGTGGAGTCAGCTGGGTGTCTGACTGTTGATAATATGTTTAAGCCTGTATTTGCTGTGAACTCAACTGGAATAAAGTTTTGCCTTTAATTTCTATTCATAAATCATATTTTATTTTCACTGAAAGCAGATGCTAAATAACCTGGTTCCCTGATTCTTACTCTAACTATTCATTTCATGAAGTGATTTTTTTAGAAATACTTTATGTATAAAATATTTTTGAACTTGTTTAAAATATCCACAGAAAAAAAACAACAACTAGGAAACAGCTATAAAACACCATTAGTTCATTTATATTTTTTTTTAACAGTGTGGTTTTTCCCTCGTGTTCTGTGAACCACATGAACCTCATCAATGCTCCTGCTCTTTCTACATCTCATATATATTATAACTCACTCTGGTCCGTTTGTTTTATCTGTAAACTAACAAAATCATTTCACACCTTCTGACACTTCTCTGTTTTCTACGTGGAGCCCTGTGAAGAGCGGTCGTCATGGGGACTTCCGTCTGAGTTCTCGGTCTCGCCCTCAGAAATCGCCTGCATGGGCGCTGAGTACAGTCTGCTGCGCATGCTGTAGCGGCTGCTGTTGGCGGGTGGGGGGATTCTGGAGCGGCCCTGCCTGGACGCAGCAGACGTGAGGAAGGATTTCGGGGAGAAACCCTCAGCGTTGGCTTTGGGGCTGGAGAGCTGATCTGGTCCTGAACTATGCTGCAGCTGTTGCAGGGGGGAGGAGAGCTCCTCAGGCTGTCTGGGCGACTCCGTCAGAGACTCTCCAGGAGACTTAGGAGCGATGGGGCTCTTGAGGATCTCTGTAGCTGACATGCGGTAACTGGAGTCCGAGCGGCTGCCCTTTTTGAGCAGCAGCAGTTTGAACTCCTCGTTGGAGGTGCTGGACTTCTTTGCGTTCCTGTAGATGGGCCCGGGGACTCTCTGTACGCCTGGTGGGGTCACAGGGGAGGAGGGTGACACCAGGGAGACTGGGGAGTTCATCGGGCTGCTGGTGGTGCTGCTGGGTGGTGTGCTCCCTGATGCAGCAATGACGCGGCTCCTCACACCCAGCTCAGTGGAGTCCTTCCTGCCCAACACTTTCCTTTTGGACCTGAGGAAGAAGAGATGACTTCAGGATCTCTGTGAACCTACACAACACACACAAAGAGACAAGTTCCAACACACTCACCTGTGAATCATCGCAAACAGATCCTCTGTGGTGCGAGTCTTGGTGGGTGACAGAAACACACTTTCGTCCTCCGGCCTGGACTCATCCCTCAGCGGGGACCCTGTGCTGTCACTGGGTGTAGAGTCTGTTAATGCAAATCAGTCGACATCTGAATAAACTGCATACAAACACAACTTTTTCAGCATGTCAACCCTTATAACAAGGAAACCTGTATGAGTGTATACATTTCTGATTGTTTAGTCGATAAAATCTGTCCAACTGACAGTAAATAACACTTAAATATTTCATTTAAATAATATACAAGGGAAAAACAGAGAAGTTGAAATCATATACTTCACATTTCAACTGAATAAATTACTTTAACAAGTGGCTTAATCTCAACGTTTTCTACCTTCAAATTTCTATAACTGATCAAACAAATTTATTGTTTTCAAAATTAAAATTGTTACAACCCTTCATATCATCCTGTCATATATCCATGAGTGATCATTTTAGAGGCCTAAAGATGAACAACAATCCAGGAAATGAAAAATCAATGAAAAATCAAATGAAAGATCAGAGCAACAGCTGTTTGAAAAATATACATTTTGTGTTTCAGAAATATAGATTTGTTCTTTTTCCCTCTCCTGTCAATCATGTTGCCTCTCAGATTCATCTCACCACCCCTGAGGGGGAAGTCAAGTTTCCTAAACCTGCCCTCCAGCTGTCTCCAGACTGCTGTGTTGTGGTCAAGTTGTAAATCAGCCTCCACTGAAGATAAATTACACGTCATAAAACATTTAACCTGCATCAGAGTAAAAATACCTTTGGTGAAGTCGCCCTCGGCCTCTGCTGTGGACTCGTCCTTCCCGTCCTGAGAGGCACTGTCGGCTGAAACACCTGACGACTCATGTTCCTCCTCTTTGCAGCCTTCATTACTGAGCGGACTCTCTTGCAGCACCTCTGGTTGGGCGTCAGTAGCAGGCACTTTATCAAGACTGTGGGATCTCTGTGGTGAACTGTGCAGAACAGAGGGAGCGGACCAGGTCTGCTCCTCACAGGGCTCAGGTCTTTGCTGCTGTAGAGGCTCAGACTGCCAGCAGACAGGTGTTTGTATCGTCCCTCCTTCCTGGGCAGTGGTGGTCTCCGAGGCGTCCTCTGATGTCTCTGACTGCAGTCTGTGAGCTGTCTCACTCTCTCTGTGCTGCTCGTCCCTCATCTCACTCTGACAAGCTGCTTCTCCATGAAGAAGATCTTCTTCATTTGAGGTAAACACTGACTCACACATCTGCTTCGACGATGTGTGATGATGATGATGATGATGATGATGATGATGTGAGTTGTGTAAAAGTGGACTCTTAAACTCTAATGATTTACTACTTTTCAGTTTGGCAGCTGCTTTGTCCACATGACCTCCTTCAGTGTCTTTGCTGACGGGTCGGAGCTGTACTGAGTGCAGCACTGTGGGTGTGATGGACAGGGTGTGGACATGAAACACCTCTGAGTTAGTGGGTGCTGCAGCTTTGGGTGTCACTACAGCTTTCTGTTTGTTTTGGTGAAGTGTCTGAATCTGGGTCCTGAAACCTGCTGCCTTGTTGATGCTATGAAGGGCACTTAAGTCGAGGTGGGAGGGGGGGATTACCGGCAGCTCCAGGTCTCTCTTCGAGGAAGCTCCATCCTTGCAGGACAGCGACTGCAGAGACAGTGATGACAGAGACGACTTTCTCTCTGGGACTTTGGGCTTCCTCTTGCCACTGGAGGGTGACAGCGGCCCGGGAAAGAAGGCGGAGGGGAAAGAGGAGGTGGGGGTTTCTGACTGACTGGAGTAGCCGCTGGATGGGCTGGCCAGGCCTGCCAGCTTCTCTGGTGAGGTTAGTTTAAACTCACCCTCCACTGATGGAAGTGAGGGCGTGGTGGCTCTGGAGCCGGACTGGGACGTCTGGGACTCTGAGCTTTCCTGTGACTTGATGCATTCGATGACAGTTGTACCTGTGGCCGTGCTGGAGTTTGACAAAGATCGGTACGGATCGCTGGATTTTAAATCGTTCAGCAGCCACAGATCTGCATAGTCTGACTGTACAACCCCCTCGTCCTTAAACGAATGAGCATCTGTGGAGCTAAAAACACCTAAGTCAGGTAGATCGGCCGAGCCCTCCACCCCCCACACCACCAGAGGCTCTCTGCCGAGTGAAGAGTTTTCTATATGACCTGGAGAGCCAGACAAAACCAGCTGCAGCCTCCTCTGATTGGAGGACAGCGGAAGCTGCTGGCCACATGTAATCTTTGGTTCTTTCCTGTCAGGGATGTTCCCGTCACTGCATATTTTCCTTAAGGAGGAGCTCCTCTTAGGCGGAGACGGCTTCACCTTTGGTTTCCTTAAAGAGAGGCAGCGTCTCCCCAGAGTCATGTGACCACTGAGGTCAGACAGGCCACAGTCGGAGCCAGAGGCTGCATAGTTATACGTGAAGCTTTTGCTGCCTTTCAGACCGCAGTCAAAGTGCATGGAGGTGTAGTAGCCTTCAGTGTCTACAGAGTAGTGTGAGACGGTGTCCGCCTTCTCCGACAGCGGCTTGTCAGAGTAGCTGCTCTCACAGGTGGCCATGCTGGTGAAGCTCGGGCAGCCCAGGCTGCTCTCCGCCTCTCTGCTCGGCTCGGGGCTGAAGTCCTGTGAGTGTGGAGGCTCGGGGTGGGGGTAACTCCACTCCTGCTCGATGGGAGTGCTGCCCCCCGCTTCCTCTAATATGTCCATAGCTGTGGAGGAGAAGGAGCCCGCCCGCTGGGGCCTGAGGCCCTGGTAGTGGTCCAGCATGAAGCTGGTCTGGTCATCGTTGTTGTGAGTGGTGGCGTTCAGGGAGAGCTCAGAATCACAGTGGGAGGAGCCGGTCAGCGGCGGAGAGGCTGCGGGGGGGATGGTCTCTGAGGTCTGTGAGGGGCAGGTGGAGCTGCTCCCGCTCCAGTTACCACTAGAAGACTGGTGGTCGTCCTTGTGGTCCATCTGGCCTCCGAGCACCCCCGCAGCTGAGACGGAGTGGACCGGGCTACTGAAGGTGTCTGAGCTGGATGAGATCTCACAGCTGCCCAGGTCGGCCTTCCTGGGCAACTGGGATCTGGTCCTCTCCATCCAGCTGCGCTCTGGACTCTCCGAGAGCTGCTTATACTTAAGGCCCAGCTGGTGCTCAGACATGGCCTGGTCATCTGTGCTCTCCTCTTCGTCCTTCAGAATCAGCTCCCCGGGTCCAGGCAGGAAATCCTCAGTGTCGAACGGGGAAAGCTCCTCCTCATCATCGCTGTCATTGTGCCCGTTGTCCATCATCCGGCTCCCGTCCCGGGGCAGGCTCCTGGAGCGCAGGCGTGCACCCACAGAGGCAGTGAACATGGTGTCAGCGCTGTCCGGCAGGGAGGAGATGTTGCCTGCAGAGTGAGAAAGGGAGACAGAGACTCCCTGGACTCTCTGGGCCCTGATCCTCCTCCGAGATGGAGCTCCTGAGATCAGAAAGTCCTCTGTCTGGCAGCCTGAGTCTCTGGTGCTGAGATGGCTGGCCAGCTCCTCATTGGAGGGTGTGATGTCTGGACTGGCATGAATGATCACTGTCCGCTCTCTGGAGCCTGGAGAGTCATCAGAGTCTGGGAGAGGACAGGAAAAAAGGATGAAATGAAACTCTAGATACAACTATAGATTAAAACTGATGAGCACACTATTGATTTTTATACATGAAAATCCTTATTCTGAAAAGGTTTAAGGGATTGATCATCACACTGATCATGTTGCATGACATCTCCTCTGTCTCTCTCCTTTCATCTCTCTGATGTCAACTGTCTAATAAAACCCCCCAAAACACCTTAAAAAGCAAAACTGAAAATAATCACTAGTTGATGTCTGTCATGTTTATGTTGATATATAGTTTTTCTTCTACAATATACTGATATGCGATAGATTTTTTTTTTATGTTTTCAGCTATTTCTAGTTGCACCATTTGTCTTTACAATGAAAGAAAGCCATAACATGTGATTTAGACCGTTTAACCTTTTTGTTAAAGTGAATCCATGTGAATAACATGAACATAAACAGTAATGTACAGATTCAGTAACATACCTAGATCTTGCTGCACCTGTCTGGGAACACCGGCGACCGTCCTCCGTCTCCTCAGCTTCCTCCTCCTCTGAAGCACCGACTGCGAGTGGACGAGCGAGCAGCGCACACTGGCATCTCTGTCAAAGCCAACCCCTGCAATGGAGACAGGACATCTGAGGAATCTTTGTTTAGTGGCAACTGCAGCGATTCCTTCTTTAACTCTCACGCTGTCTTGCACAAGAAAAAAAAAATCTGTTACACTCGTTCTACAGGAATAGCAGCAAGGAGTGGAGGAGGACAGCTACCTGATGGAGCTGAAAGCCACAGTAAGTCAAACTGACTGGAGTCATACTGTGGAGTTATTTACCTCTAAGATATCAGGATGTATAAAGAAATAAAACATGTATTTGATCCTCACCCAAAACAAGAAAAAGAATAAAGTCAAAATGTTCCTGGGTTTACTAACCAAAGGACAGATCCTGCTGTGAAGGTCTCTGCGTCTGTTTTTGTGTTTCCTTGTTTTCCTGCCTCTCCTTCACCGTACATTATCACTATCATGTGACTCCAGGTCAGGCTTTTCAGCACCATAGCAATTGCTGGACTTTGCTTACAATGTGCATTTTTTATCCTCAACTGTCTGTGACTCAGCCAGTGCTGGCGTATATAACTGTCCCTTTGAGTCAATGGGAGCACGAGTAAATAACATGGGGCAGGCCTTTTCAACAGTTTGGACACAACTAATTGGCATTCAGGTCACAGCAGCTCGCCACTTTACAATCACAGGCACTAAGCATCAAAGCATGAGAAAGAAAGTTAATGGACCCAAAGCATGACTTACACATTGAAATTGAGTCTCTGTAGTAAAAGTATAATTAACTAATCAATTTCAAAATTTCTTGAAAATATTTTATTTCTTTTTAATGCAGGGAAAATAAACACTACATAACATTTGTTAATGCTAATGAGGCATGCTAACATGGTGTTAACAGTGGATGACTGTGTGCAGGAGTCTGTTAACTTCTGTTAGCTTCCCCCACAACACTGACATATACTGTGTATGAAACAACAGTAAATATTAAAGAAATACCACACAGGCTTTGTTAAATATGACCAGCCAGGAGACGGTTAGCTCATCTTAGCGTAAAGACTGCAAATGGGGGAAATAGTTAGCCTAGCTCTGTCAAATGTTCAAAAATACACCTACAAGCACCTCTAACACTCACTAATAAACATGTTACAACTTCTTTGGTTAGAGTTGGTGGTTGGCACAGGGTTGTGCGATATGACTCAAATCAGTATGACAATTTTAAAGGAATAGTTCGACACGTTGGGAAATGTGCTCATTTGAATTTTTGCCAATAGTTAAACAGGAAGGCTGACACCTCACTCACGTGTGTTTGTCTAACTGTTTTATTAGCGCCAGGAGATGATTGGCTTACCTCAGCTTAGCATTAAGACTGGAAGCAGGTGAAAGCAGCTAGCATGGCTCTGTCTAAGGTAAGAACATCCAACTCCAAAGCTCACTAATTAAAACGTTACATCTAATTTGTTTACACAAACACAGTTAGTGCTGTAACTACATGTATTTATTATCTTGAATCTTCATTTCACTAAGTTTAAAAATGTGGTAGTAGCAGTACTTTGGACAAAACACAAGGCTAGCGGTTTCCAATCCTTATGCTAAGCTAACTATTTTCTAGCTGTGGATTTGTATTTAACAGACATGGGAGTGGTATGAACTCTAAGCAAGGAACCAAAAATTTTAAATTATTCCTTTAAAAGAAGCTAAAACTAAAAGTTTGCACTGCTGAGGGAGCATGAACACCGCAGCAACACATTCAGACATAAAGAATTAAGTGCTTTAAATTTACCAGTCACATTAATGGGGATGACACATGAGGTGATGACTTGGGAATTGGTTTTCATTCTTTCCTCTGGGGTGGGCAGCGGCAGGGCTTTAGACCAGTTAGTCTGCTTGTCCAGGGTGGAGGGGATGTTAGGGATGGGACACTTAGACCGGTGACCTAGAGCCACCCCGTCAGTGTCGGGGTCAGAGGGCGCAGCCTGCAACAGATGGATATTTGCATGGTTAGGGTGTTACGGTGAGGTGGCATTACATGAGAAACAGTACAGCAGAGTTAAAAAAAAAAAACAAACTGATAAAACTCAGCCTCAGAGAGGGAAATGTGCAGAGAGCAGTGATTAAAGTCTGGTGCACTGGTGCTGCCAATGAGTGTTTATCTGGGAAAGAGCTGAGGGCTAGATGTAGAGATTAGTTTCTTATTAATCTGCAGCAAAGACTGAGGTAAATCAATAAGCATGCCCTTCCAGCAGCTGAGTTTCATGTTGGAGTGCAGAGAAAACATGAAGTAATGGAAATAAAAACCATGCTTCGGAGCAAGAGAGAGAGAGAGAGAGAGAGAGAGGGGAAAGCACAAGAATCATTCAAAGAATCTGCTCAGTAGCTTCATGCAAAATTGTACAAAGGAGAAATATGGAATTGAAAACATGTTCAAATCAGAGACTGTCGTTATACATGGAAAACCAATCTAACAGCACTGACAACCTGAATGTGTCAAAGACCAGTAACATGTTAAATACAAATTCAGCTCCTTCACTCAACAACTAATGTGCAGGACAGAAATGTGAAAAACTGTAAACATTTGTTTCCAGTCACAACGTGCTACTTTGGAAACTCTTAGCTCATGCTCCGACGATCTGTGGCACCTATGTGAGACTCCTGCATAATAACAAGTCTCCGGAAACATTTGAGAGGAAATACTTCACAGCAGCATTCCTCCGAGCTTCAGTATCAATCACTGCACAGTCCTCCCCTCAGACCGCTCCACAGCTCCACATCCTTTTTCCATGGGCCTCCTCAGACTCTCAAACTTAAACACAGCAGATCCCCTCTAACTTAAACCTCCATGCTAAATGAATTAAGTCCATTAAATTCTTACCTTGAGATTCCTACAGAGATCCACATGTGAAACTGGGAATGATTCTCAGGCTCAACTGGTTTCCACCTCCACAACCCGACAACCTCCCACCCCCATTTAAAGCCAGCTCTCCAGCCTTTGTGCTCTCTGTTCCCAGCAGACCAATGAGACCCTGACAAAACCCCGGCCACAAAAGAAACCCGTTTCCTTGGAAACTTCTCCCAACTAGTAGAAAAAAAGGGAATCAAAGGGAGACCATTTATAGCTGATTTGTTTTCAGAACAGAAAGGCGTTTTTAGAAAGAAAGAGACAGATAAGAAGAGTGGACACATACGGGATGAGAGGGGAATAAAGAAGTGGCAGTGTTTGGTGTTTGCCCCTGTCCATGGGCTCATATCTCTCTCACAGCGGGCATCAAACGCCATATATTTGGTGATCAGAGACAGAGAAAACATGAGGCTGTTAGCCCTTTAGGCGATGGGTGCACCGGGGAAACCGCAGCACAGAGGAATCATGGGTAATCACAGGCGCAAGCTTGGAGAAGTCGACCCTATCATTAGAGAAACCCAGGCTGCTGGGAGGCTGAGACTGTGGCCCTCACACACACATTCCTCACATACTGCAGGCTTAAAGTCCGGCCCCTCACATGAACCCCAACAGCAACTGTCTGAGGACGTGAGTGTGTGACGCGAGTGTGTGACGCGTTGCCACAGATCGAACTTTTTAAAGTGGTTTCATGACAAACTATTACCACATTTTACCAACAGGGTGGAGCAGGACGCTTCCACTGCCAGGGGAGAGCTGCATTCAGTGTGCATGCATTTGTTATGTAAATTAGAAGGAGTCAAACAAACAAGAACAGGTGAGGAGTTGTGAAACACAGTGTTAGAAGGAGCACAGGAGCCGGAAGGATGGAGGGAGGAAGGGAGGACCAGTACCTTTCTGCTCCAGGGGGAGAAGCGGCAACATTCGGTGGGGGAGGAGGAGCGGGTGGATTCAAACTGAATTACAGGACAAAAACAACAAAAAAAAAAAACAGGAAAACAAAAACACATGACAGAGATGAACATGGAGGTATTCCACATGAACAAATACAGACACAGTGACAAAACAGACAACCACACACAGGTGAACTCAGTGAGGAGGAGCGTGTGGACCGTGACATTATTTTGAGGCAGAGCAGGTTGGGAAAAAATAAACTTCCTTAGCGACTGATGCTACATTTAAATACAAACTCAGGACTGTCATGTGACACTGAAACATCCATGCTCTGCTCAGACAACATGAAACACACAAACACAGTCCACTCTCCTCTTTACCTGTGTTTGTGCCAACTGTGTTGTTGCAGCTCTAAAATCTCTCTCTGGCTGCTTGTGAGGAAGAAATGAATTTACCTTCAAAAGTACATCAAACATCTGTGCATGATAAAGTATCTCATTCATCAAATGAAATAAAATCAAGTTAAAAAGCAGGAAATGACCACTTGAAAAACAGAAATGCACTCATAGCATTTAAAAATATATTTTTCACATGTGAGTTCCCAGTTACATGCTTGATAAGCAAAGTAAAAACAGAGTCAAAGGAGAAACTGTGTAAAATGTCATTTGTAATTTATTTGAATACTTTCATTTATTTTGACCGTTGATGTTCTGCTTTATCAACTCGTACGAGATCAAGTGTAGGATCCGGTGTTCGTCATCTCACCGTTGTCAGATTGGTGCCGCTGTTTCCTTGATCCTGTATGATGTGAGGGGAGGGGTATATGGGAATGGGGGGCACGGCTGAGATCGAGATGGTTACCCTCCGCTCCCGGCTGCCTGACTGTCTCCTCTGGCGATCTGCAACAAGGAACAAAAGACAGGCTGAGTGTGACCTCCTCATACATTCACAGACGGACATAAAAACTGTTTGGAAGAGAGGAAGATGAAACGGTCCCAGGTTTATCTTCAAACAAGGTCCCAGAACAATTATAGTGACCAATAACTTTAACTGTAGCTTTCAGACAGACTTGAAGAAATACGACTCTGTCCTTTAACCTCAGATCAGACAAATAAAGAGAGTTGGGGCAGAAACAAAGGGGTTGGACCCAATACAACACAAAGCCATCAGTGTAATAGGTCTATGATGAATACTGTATTTATTAAGCTTTTAATGTCCAGTCATTAAGTCAGAGAGACAGTCAATTAAGTTGATTGTGTGGGGAGTTAATTGATTGAGTGTTTGTGTTCTGCCTGAGGGAGTTGACTGAATGATGATGAACATTTTCATACAACACAATCAACAACAACCACACAAACTGTTACCTGAGTCATTACCGGGTATGACTGCAGTGATATCAGCCGGCATAGCTGTTTATATAACTGTTTCCACCCCCACTAAAGCACATATGCCATCTAATACCTCCTGCCACCCTCCTCAACCTCCTACAACCAGGATGCAGTTGTAAACTCTGTCCATTAGAGGGCAGAGTGACACCAGACTGACAGTGTCTACAACAAGAGGGAGGCAGGAATCCCAGGAGTGACTTCTTAAATGATGGAGGACACAACGTCAAAAGAGAAATGTTTTCAAATTATTCAAATAATTATTCAAATAAAATATAAAGTAAAATAAGAAATTAAAAGTGGAGAGTTGTATTCATTTGAAATGACAGAGAGCGAAACGCTGCTGTGTTTCTTTGAGGGCCTCACCTTGGTGCAGGGCCCACAGGCTGAGGTTGGCTTGCCTGTGGAGCTCTTCTACACATGCTGGCCGCGTGGAGGGGTGGAAGATGTTCCTCTGCTGGTGCCAGGGGGCCTGGTAATGTGTCGTCAGCTTACTCTCCACATCCAGGTTGGACACCGCTGCCAGAGAAAGACGAGGCAGGTCAGACAACAAGTACAGTATAGTGACGTACGACAGAACAGCAGTGACAACAGTGTAACGGCTCAATGCTGGGTGCAAGCATACTGCAGTTACCCAGTTTCTGTTGTGAGGAAACAGTGACAGACTCAGCTCACATCAACACTTCAAGAGCCATGTCTTAGAAAGCAGAGATCTGAACTGGTGAGGTTGTGATTGAGGAAAGACTGACCAAAAAGATCTTTAACTGGGACCGTGTTATCCTTGGATGCAAGGGGTCGCTGATCTGAATATCATTTTTAGGAATAACTTACAGTGTAACATAAATACAGTTAGACAAAAGTTATTAAAGGTTTATAAAGAAGAATAGAAACGAGAAGTTTGTAATAAAGCCAAAGCTTAGAAATTACATCCAAATGAAAGATAACAACTCAGAACACAGAACACAGAACCATATATAAAATTACATTTGCAGAGAATGCAAAGGTCTGGTACTTTATCACTGGCAGGTATACAGCTATTCCTGAGGAGCCATGTTTATGTTTTATGTGAAGTTGTTGAGGACGAACATTTTGTATTCCATTGCCCTCTGTATACTGATTTAAAGAAATATTTATTTGACAAGATTCAATTGAAGAATCCTGATCTGTTCTGGTTGTCTGAAGCTGATATGTTGAGTTGGCCTTTTAATGTGGAGACTTTTATTTTGGTGAGATTTAAAGGAGACAGAGGACACTACAATAAAACTGAATGATTTGATTTGTACTTTGTATTAATTTGTGGAAGTGTATATGATGATTTGTTATGTGGTCTTCAAGGTTATGGCTTAGCGTCCTGTAAGACCATATAGGCTGGGCACCAGAAACCAATCAATCAATCAATCAATCAAATATCAAGAGCTCTTCAATATTTGTCTTGATAACTGAGGTCACTGGTTCTACTGTAAATACTATGTAAGATTTGTAATGGGAAAGTGACTAGCTGTCGTCACATGGTGCAGCCTGCAGAGCTCCACTGGTGCTGGTAAGACAATCTCTAAATTTCCACTCTGGCATTTCTGTGGTATTACACCAGTTAACATCATTAAGGTGAATGGAAAGGCCCTGTTTCCACTGAGGCGACAGCACGGAGCCATGAGAGCAGGAGGATATAAAACACTGTTAGAGTTGAACCCTGAGAGAGAAAAGCAGTGTTATCAGATCCAGCGTTAGCAGGACAATAGCCCGTTTGCTAATGCAACGCTATTACCTGCAGCTAAACAATAGGTATTAATGCAACCTGATACTGTGACTTTCATCCTCTAAACAGTGACCAGAACCTGGACTCATGTCACCGCTCCCCCTCACAGACGCTCACACTCAGGTTACAGAGAGGGGGACGCTCAGCTCTCACATTTCACCTAACACACACACAGGCGGGAAAAGTTTGAGTTTAGAGGGAGCTGTTCAGTGTTTGTGCTGCTGCTTGTGACGGCTTGAAATGACAGTATATCTCTCTAACAGTGTAACGTAAAGTCAGATGATACACTGCATAAAAAAAGATTCAGTGTATCGTCGTTATTATCGTTAACGACAACTAATGAAATAACCAAAACTACGAAAAAACACTTTTCTGTTAACTGATATAAAAATAAAAACTTTATAAAAAAAAGGATAACTAACTGAAACTGTGTTGTGTGATTACAAAACTAACTAAAATAAAGTTAAGTTATAAAAAAATGTCTTGTTGATGAGTTAATTTGGAGTTGATTCATCTAAATTAAATGGTTTGATGTTTTGTTGAGTTTTTATTACACAATACTTTTTCTGACCTTTTTAAATCTTGCTCCAACAAATCCCCCATATTACAAAACAAAACTAAAACTAACACTGAAACTAATAAAAACTAAACTAGTGCTTAGAATTTTCAAAAGAATAAAAGCTTACAGAGCAAACCTGCTTTAAAAACAAATTAAAATTAAACTGAAATTGAAAGCAGAAAGTCAAAATGAAATAAAAATAAAAACTAATGAAAAATCCCAAACTATTATAATATATAACCTCTCGTCGTACACATCTGCAGGAGAATCTGAGGACTGTCCTGATTATTAACACTACTGAGCCTTTGCTTTAGCAGATAAACCCGTCTGTCAGCCTTCCTCTACCTGGCGGACATTTCTGGGCTTGTCCTTGACCCGGCAGCTTGACTGAACTACGTTCTGTCTGACCCCTGGTGTCTGCTCAGAGGCAGCTCTGGCTGAGCACGCTCCAAGTTTACTCTGCAGTCCAACCAGGAGCTAATTTTAGTCTCTTTCGCTCAGAACAGACACAGTTCAGCTCCTGATCACAGCTGCTAAAGGTCAGGATGACTGAGTGCAGCATCACACTGAAGCTGCTGCTGAGGATTTTCTAGCAGCTCTACGTCTCTTTGACAGGTCTTCAAGAAACGTGTTGCCATGCATGCAGATCCCAGGAGAGGCAGTAAGATTATCTGTTACTCAGAGTCAACTTGACGTTTTCCATAAAACACCACAGAGTGATCTACGGGCTGGGACCTCGGTGACCTGAAAACAAGCTCTGTGCAGCGTCTGCTCCTCAGCTGTAGAGGCTGAAGGAGTAGATGAACATTTCTAGTTAGTGAGTTTCAGAGGAGCTGGTACATGCACTTTGAGCTTCACACAGTTTAATCCAGCTACATGATCAGCACACATGAGAGTGGGATCAATCCTATTATCTATCAGCAAGCTAATTTAAAGAACTTTGGAAAAATAAATAATAAAAATAAATAAATAAACGTTTAATAATCTCATTTTGATTTAAAGCTCCATATTTTACTCTTCACTCTTCTCTTCTCTCTGGCGCTCTACTAACAACAGGTCAGTGAGCCAATCAGAAGAGAGGAGGCTCTGAGCCTCTCTTCTGATTGGCTGACTGTTTTCTGAGTGATCCAATAAAGATATAGCAGATTTCAGGTAAAAACTCAGAGAAACCAAATCCTGCAAAGTTGGATGGTGGGTCCAGGTGGGCGAGGCTTTGGGTGTGGCTAAGAGCAGTGACTGCTTTTTGTTGTGACATCACAAAGTTCCAGAAGTCCTGACGGCTGGTTTTAAGGCTCAGTTTCTGAATACAGGCTGTGTGCATTTCTCTGTGGACTGAGGCTTTGATACTTTCACAGTATTAATATAGAACCTAGACCTGATCTATAATCAACTACACAAGGACATTTACCTTTAGACTACATGGAACTTCAAACTTTTCTAATGCTCCCATAGGAGTTCAGCAGTGTTGAGACTCACATCAGTGAGCTCTCATGTCTTGTATGGAACAATCTACATCTGGTCATTTCATTTACTGGGGTGCTTCCTTTGATTTGTCATCCATCTGTGTGTGTGTGTGTGTGTGTGTGTGTGTGAGTACAGAATATATGTGTGTGTGGTAATACACAACTCCACACGAACTCATATTTCAAAACTGAAACAGCTTGACTAATAATGATGCATTTCTGCTGTGTGAAATCTAAGAGAGTAAGTGGTGATGTGTTGAGAGATGTGACCCTCTGACACTGTTGGTCAGCCACTCCCCTCTCTGACTCCCTGCTGAGATGTGAACTGTTGGCCCTGCTGTGACACTCACCATCTCCAACACACCAAAAACCATCTGACAACAACAACAACAACAACAACAACAGCAGGGACACAGACTGTGCTCTCTATCCCTGCCTGTTTTTTCCCTGGGCTAAAAAACACATCAGTACTGACATCTTTTAGTGAAGTAAGTCTGTGCTTGTCCAACAAAGCATTAGTGCATGAGGGGCCTTTAAAGATGTCTTCATGGAGACATATGGGGGAGGCCTTTAATGGGAGAGCAGCGGTCAGCTGTTTCCCCAGATGAGGCCAAAGAAAACATATCAGCCCTCAGTCATCTCATTGACCTCTCAGCAGCTTTCTCTTTCTGTCACTGAGTGATCTTCAACATGGCCACACTGAGCCAAATGAGTCAAATGAGTCAAATGAGCCACACGGCCCCGGGTGAGAGGAGAAACAAGACTTTGTGCAAAACCTACAAGGGCGACTGACTTTTTCTTTAGTTTTAACATTAAAGTCTCTTTTCTCCTTCTTCCTTTCTTATTGTTACTATGAGTCATCCTGTGAACTTCCCTGTTGAGGTGTAATCACGCGCTCTACTATCTGCGCCCTGACACAGCCTATCAATCTCTCCTCCTCTTCATCTGCAGGATCATCCCCCAATAACCTCACCACTATCAGCCCTGCCAGCAGCCCTGCAGGCCTGGAGAAGGGGGGGGGGGGATGAAAGCTTCCATCCTCAGACTGCCTCTGCCTTGTAATTTACTCGGTGTTGGCCCAGACAGGAGCCAAGTCAAACCCCCTTACCCCTCATACCCACACTCTCACACACCTACAATTTGCCAGCAGCCTGGGAAAACACAGCCACAGATGTCAGTCATTAGGTCACACTCAGATAAGAAAAACTCCCTCTGGATTTAATGCAACAGGCAGACAGGTGAGCTTATGTCGTGCAGAGTCAGCTATGTGTAGTTCATGTGTGTAAAGTGGAAACTTTTGCACAAAAAAAATCATTCTTTTCAGGTAGAGACAAATATCTGGAGCTTTGGCTCTCAAAAGGTTTCCTACTGAACGCCAGAGCATGCAGGGCTTCTCCACAGTCGGGTTTTGTTCAGGGTAAACTAACCAAGCAAAACATTCAGGCCAGAGCCTCCAACATCAGCTGACGAGAAGCGCTTTCATCTCTGCATCTCTTACATCTTGTGACAACAGTCAAACAAAGTGCAGGCGTGTTCGTCAAACCACTGAAGAAGAAAGTTGTGCATGCAGAGCAGAAAGAAACGCAGCTCAATTAAAGCTCTGGTAAATTATACAGTACCTTGGGATGTGAACGTGAGACAGCATCCAAGAGCCATGACAGAGCCGTGTGGTTTTAACTCAGTGAGACGTTAAATCAGTCCCTGTCACCTCAACTGCCTCCATGTCTTTACAGCAACGTCC